CTAATTCGACTTACGCGGTTATCGCTCGGTCCCACCTATCGCGTAAGTTCGGGGTATCACTGTAATCAAAAACAACAAATGTAAATTGCAAATTAAGTTTTTTTTTTTACATTCTTTATTAGCCAATACAATATTTTTAAACTTACAAAAACTTGTATTTAATGTTTTATATATATTACAACAGAATATGCTAAGTGGAAATGCAGATTAGTTAACAATTTAATATAATTTTCACCTAAACATAATTCATAGTTTTTAATGCATAATTGTTAAAACATTTTAAATAATAAGTTATTTTTTCTACAAATTCTCTAATCCATTGGTTTGCTTTTCGAATCAAATCCTGTGGAAACTTAAATAAAGACACCGAATATCATTTCGCTTTATATTTTTCTACGCAACACAAACAAAAATAGCTTACTACGAAAACATTACAGTACAAATGCAACATTACTTTTTCCTGGCACTTATATTGATAAACAATTTTCATGATGAAATGTGTGGAAATTCTTATTTAAAACATATTCAAAGGAATTTAAATACTTACAATATTATTGATTGTTAAATAATTTATACAAGAATTCTATACCTTTAATTTGAAAAATGGTCATACAAATTTGATTAAACATATTTACGGATATATTATGGAACTGGATACATGAAATTTCTGTAAATTTGAAGTGTTGTTTCTTAACACACAGATTTTGAACTGACATTCAAAAGCACAAAATATCTATTGATAGAAAGAACTGTCAATCCTAACTAAAGCACTAAAAAATTTTTCTGATGAGAGTAATCTATGGAGAAAGGTTTATTCTTTATTCAAAATTGTTCAATAACTTCTACATTTAAACTTTATAATTTGTTAAGAAAGATTTGTGAAAATTTCTCTTTCAGAGTTATACAAAACTTAGCTAATTTTATTGTTTCATCTAACTATATTAAATGCGTGTGACAAATTCAAAAAATAATCTGACTCGTTTTAATTATAAATTTCACCCTTTCTCGAACTTTTCATAAATAATATCTGTAACAAATTATAAATTTTCTGTTATTCATTATCTGTGCACGTATATTTAAATTTAAAACACTGATCGCACTATTAAAATTATCTATTGTGTATGATTTGGTTCAGAGGTGAATAAAGATCAAGTATGAAGTTAAAATTAGTTAAAAAAAAAATAATCTTAGTAATTTATTAAGTAAAAGTAAACCGTTTTAAAATTATTCCTATAAATTTAAGAAAACATGCGAGCTAAACTTTATACTGTATTTTCACTTTATACTCACTCAATGTTACAACTAAAAAAATAATCTATTTCTGCGTGACTTCGTTCTGACGACCACAATATAATCGACCAGCATTTCCTATTTCGGTGTGTTGACGTCATTCAGCCGACCAATCAGTGTGTTGTGCCATCTGGATATTTAGTCGCACATCACGGGAATACTTAGTAAAGTGCAAAGTTTATATCAGCCATTCCACTGACTGATTCTTTGAGGTGAGTAACTTTTACGGCTTTTGAATTCGATAAAATTTTAATTTTCTTAAAGAAATATTATTAATCAGATAAATATGTTGATTAAAACACATGAGATATCTAGCAAAATGATTAGATGGAAAATCCGTTCAGCCGAAAATTTTCCAGGGGGAGGCAAAGCTTGGAAACAAATAATTACATCAATACATTTTTAATTAATTAATTATTTTTAGGTTTCTTCACAAGTAGATTATAGAATACCATATTGTATCAGTGCAAAAAGAGACAATGCATCCCTTGGTCGAGGGTATAAGGTCACAGTGGTACTGTACATTATAGCTTCATGGAGTCCTGGCAGATTTGAATTAGGAGGCTTCATGTACTGTACAGTGTTCGAACATTTTTCTTCGGAGGAATCCCCTTGTATCCTCGTTCATTTTATAATGCAACCTCTACGTTGTGCCAGAACACCGTGCACCTGCATCATACCGGCAATCTGGGATCCCAGATATGGCACAAATTAAATTTTGATACTCTTACTACAATAATGAGCTTATAAAAGATTGGTTGATGGATATTCTAGGCAATTACCCTTTTAGACCATAGGATAATGCAGAGGAACATTAGAAAAGAAACCATAATGGAAAAAACCAAAAAGGAAACCGAAACCAAAACGGAAATCAAAACCAAAACGGAAACCAAAACCAAAACCGAGTCTCCACATCAGAAAAACTTCTTTCTTTCTTCCTATAAACATAAACTGTATATCGATAAGATAACTTATAAACTAATGAATTTATTAAATATCACTTATGGTACCTGTTATTACGTTTGAATGTATGTCTCTTTAATCCGAAAAATAAGTTCGGTAGACTATCATTACAGCTTTCAGGTTAGACACTTCTTTTATTGTTTTCCCATATGCATTTCAGGCTTATATAAATGCTAAGCCCCTCTTCAGTGCAATACTACAAATTATTAAAAAACAACAATTAGTAACATGACAAAAAATTTTTCTCGTGTGTAGGGTCATATTTACTGACATAAAACTATCATACTTAAAAATTGTCATACTTATACATACATATGGTTCCGTCTTCTAAAACCACGGTGTATAACAGATAACGTTTGAAAGATTTTTTAATACGGCCATTAATTAACACTTAAATAGGGGCTAGATTTGCACAGAAGTTCTCCGGAGAGGCACTTCCCCCTGGCAGATCGCCCATGTGTTGTGTTGCTTTATACCATCAATTCAATCCAATTCGTTAGAAGCAACACCAATTCACGATAGGAGCGACAGGGAGCACAATACATCGAAGTCATTCATCAATGAAAATTTCTGAATCGACTCCTATTCAAATTTGATATGAAGAAAGATAAGTTGATGTCGTTTTCCGCCATCGATGTATTTGTACTAATTATTATTTTTTATGAACTCATCTTATAAATAAAGATGAATTAATAAATAAAATAGAAATCTTTAGCTTTAGATTGCGTCAAAATCAAAAGTATTACAAAATCTTTGGCTCCTATCTCTGATCCATGCTAATCATCCATTACGAGTGTGTGCATAAAAATTGCCAAATTATAGATTTATGTAGCCACTAAAATAAAATATATTATATGAAAATATATGTTTAATAAATTTGTAATAAAATCTAGTAGAACGTTAGAATTAAGAATTAAAGAACACGAAGCAGCAATTAGATTAAAATACAATAATTCTCTGTGGTTCAATCATTTAAAAAATAGTAATTGTCAAATAGATAGAAATAACATAAAAATAATTCATTCAGAAAAAGATATGTATAAACGTAAATTTAAAGAACGTATTGAAATTATAACATTTAAAGATGATAATTTAATCAATATATCAAATGGTATGCGAAAAGATCAACAGTGGTACAATATGATAGAGGGCTCTAAAGGACAAAAAGGGATTGTAATGTATTATGTATTTGTCATACAAAGTGTCGTATTAGAAAATGATTGGTAATATATTGTAAAATGATGAAATTATGCATGTATTCTCTTGAAAATGATTTTAATATTACTATATTACATGTAATTAACCAGTAAAACGATTATAATTATTATAATTACTGTTACTGCAACGTTTGTTGTAGAAAATACACATTCTTTAATTAAAAGTTGTACAGTACTTATATAAGATTTTATGTGCACATGTTAAAAGTAGGTATGTATTGTATTATATTGAATACTATGATACACCTCTTGTCTAGTCTTCTGAATGGCTTGTGAGCGCTAAGATTGGCTTTACTTTACCGCTAGACTTATTACACCACTACAGGACATCAAATTAGATTTAGAAAAACACTATTTTATTTTCAGAATGCATTTCGGACATGGAGTCCCTCATCAGCTTTTCGCTACAAAATTAATAAGAGGTTAACAATTTTTATAAAAAGACCGTGATTGACAGAAATGAACAAAGAATGTGGACTTACACTTGACATGTGGATTCGATGCGTTGAACATTAATTAAAAGACTAAGCACACGATATACAAGATTTTCCATTAAAAACGGTAATGTTGGTACAATAACATAATAATAAGCTGAGTTTCTGGTAAAAACAGTAAAGTCGTAAAAATATACATTGTTAAAACAAAATGATAAGTAGATTCACAGTAACACGAACAGAATAACAAGACGATTCGAAGTACTGTACCCATTCTAGGGTAACAGTCACCCTCACCACTATCCGTTTTCACACCTCTCCCCTCCCCCCACGCCTCCTCTGGTCAAATATGCGTACCACGATTCGTGTAATTTTTGACCGGAGTTGTTATTCATGATTTTCTCTTTGTTTTTAATTATTTCTAAGTGTTCGTACCATCTTCTTTTATAAGTATTTGGTTCCTTTCTAAGTATTTTGACAGTATCCTTTACAATCTGACAGCCTTTTACTTAATTTTGCGTTAATACCTAACACCAATTTAACAGTCCTATTAATAATTTATGTCCAAGTTGACAAATATAATAAGAATGTTAGTTTACGTTTAAATAAATTGTATTATATTGTTGTTTTATTGGAATCTGTTATGAAAGAATAATTATAAAAATATTAATATTTGGTTTTCCGTATGAATGTTTGGAAAGTACATTTCAGATGTTTTTAGTGGGGGTTTTTTAAACGAGAAAATTAGAACAACGGTGTTCTAAAATAGAATATATAAATTCAAATACAAAAAATAACGGAAGATAAAAATATCACAAAAATGATGTATCATATAAAAATAAAATAAAATGTTTGTTAATTAAAATTTAAAAATGTCTTTTTTATCAACCCAACTATTAAATGAATTCGGATATCCTAACCACTTAACTAAATATTTATTTCCTTTCTTTTAATTATTTTTTCTATCTTATAAACTTTATCCTTTTTATCATATTTCACTAACTCATTTTCATAAAAAGTTCCTTTAATATCTTCATTATTTAAATCTATAATTCGATAAGTAATTAGATCCGTCTTTATCACTTCAGATATAAATATTTCTTCTGTGTAGGAGAGTAAATAACCTTTCTTAAATGGTTGTTTGTATTTATATATAGATATTCTAACCGTATCACCAATTGTATATTTAGGAGGCTTAAGAACAGTGGCGTAGCGTGGGTGTCAGCCGCCCGGGGCAAAGGAAAATTTCGCCGTCCCCTTATTTAGGTATCTCAATTTAAAAGACTAAAATTCAGTGAAAATGGAAATATATTTATCGATGCAATTAAAACGGCTGGTAAGAAATTATTAGAAGTTTAGAACAAGCCAAATCTGTGGTTGAGGATAAGACGAAGCAGTTTGTTAAAAATAAACTTGAGAGTATTTTATCTAAAACTGTGGAAAATAGAGTAAGGAATATTATAAGTAAGCAAAGTTTATATGGAACAGGATTCAAGAAATTTTTATACTAATAAATGGAAAAGATTTGGGATTTAACTTTTCTTAATTATTTAAACAACGAAATCGAAAGTTTTGAGTACAAACATTATAGAGAAAATAAAGTTACTGTCGATGAAAAGGAATCAGCGAAATATGAATTTAATATTAAAGATGTAAATGATATGATTTTATATTCTAGTGGATATACAGTGGTGCCTCGTACAACGTACTTAATCCGTTCCAGGTGCACGTCCGTTATACGAAACGCATTTTCCCATAGAAATACATGTTAAAACATATAATTCGTTCCGCAGCATAAAATAACCGTACTGTACCATAAAAAATGAAAATGGAGCAGACACCAATTATGCCGGGTAGTCAGATGTTGTGAGGAGGAGGTGGAAGAACACTTTCTTTACACATTCATACAGATACAGACTTTTTACACATTGCAGCGGGTCTTTTTTTATTGTTTTTTAATCGGAGTCAGATTCAGGAGAGGCTACCGGAACTTGCAGGGTCAACTTCTCTTGTTCCATCCTTTGTTTTTTGCCCGCTGGCTTCTTGAAAAACATGACCAAGGTGGTCTGTTTCTCTTTCTTCTTTAACACCTGTCGGAAATGACGGACAAAGGTGTCATCGTAGAGATCATTGATCCTGTTGGCCTCAGCTCTGTTTGGATAATGAGTGTTGGTAAACTCCTGAACCTCTCCCCATTCGACAAGAAAGTTTTTGTCAACTTTCACTCCTGATGATTTCTTGCTTTGTTTCAATTGAAATCACCTTTCTGTTTTTTTAGAAGCCATGATGCATTATAAATGACTTAACTTGCCAGATTATATGATACGAATAATTCTTTATTAATTAAGATCACTAAACACTTCTACGAGCTACTCTCGCTCCGTTTGTTTTTTACAACCTCTTTTCGTCCCGCCACCTCGGCATCTACACAATTACATTTCGTTTATTTGAATCGTCAACATATATTACATTACATTTAATGTTTATTTAAATCATCAACATATATTACATTACATTTCTACTTCAGATATACTAATAATACATTCTAATAATACTAATATATCCTAAAAATAGCAGATTGTCATTGGCAACGGCAAAAGAGTGGAAACATCATTCGCACTTGTTCGAAGAAAGTCCATTGTTCGTCTCACGTAACTGCCGAACGGAAAGTCCGTTGTTCGCAGCAGGTCCGTTGCTCGAGTCACATAACGGTCAAACAGAAAGTCCGTTATTCGCAGCGTCCGTTATTCGAGGCGTACGTTATACGAGGCACCACTGTATCTGCCCAGAACTGAAAATTATGAAACAGGATGGTTCTTTGATAGGAAGTGATAACGTAATCTTAGTAAATACTGGAAATTTATTCTCAAGATCTGAATTACACATTGGTAAGACACTAATTGAAGAAATTGAATTGCTCTCTTTAGTCCATCACATTAATGGTCTTATAAACTTTACAAAAGATTATTCTACTTCTGAAGCAACTAATATGCTATTTTTCATTGACACCTCAGAATCATCAGATAAGCAAGTTTGATATTTGATGGACCTGATGATCAATCTCTCAGAACTAAAGAAAAAAAATGGATATCTTTCTAGAAGGATTAAAGAAAAATGCAAATTAACGAAAAACAGTAACAAGGTCAAACTGTGAATACCAATTAAACAGATGTTTGGATTTTTCAGTAACTTTAGGAAAATAATATCAAACATTGATGTTAGATTTGTGTTCTGGAGAAATTCGAATAATGATATGATCTATACCTACGTTGGCAATCCGAATTATAAAGTTATAATATCTGATATTTCACTTTGGTTACCACATATTAAGCTATATCCAGAACCTCAAGTTAATTTTAATAGTGTATCTCTTAATCCCTCATCGGATATAGAAATTAATTGGTGTTCTGTTAGATTAATTAAAAGTAACGTTCAAAATGGTTCTAGTGGAACATTAATTGTAAATACAATCACAGATGAAATCAGAAATATTTTCGTAATCCCACGATATCAAGAAAAGGAAAACGATCAGAATCAAAATAATATGATATTCGATAACTTAGATATGATGAGTTGTTGGTTAAGAATTAATAATGATAAATATCCATCAGTAGATTATAATGTTAGCTTTAAACCGGGAGAATTAGATTATTCGAGATATTATTCTGATTTCTTAGCGGCGGGATTAAATACTAACAGTACAGAGTCTGGTTGTTTAGTAAGTTATACAAGCTATGGAAGACTGTATCCAATAATTCATTTCGATGTTTCTAATCATCCCTCTTATAATAATGTAGATAATTTGAAAGTTGAATTCTTTTGGCAATTGAAAGAAACATCTGCTAAACCGTATAGATTTTATTTCGTTTTAGTTGAAAAAAAAAAGAAGGAACTATTAATACGTACAATAGGACTTTTAAAACCATTAAAACTTTAAAGTAATTAAATGGCTTGGTTTCCTTTTGGTCATTATTATGATGAAGTAAAAAAAGGTCCTGCTGGTCCTCCGGGTAATGGTTTCAAATTAACGTATGATGGAAATTATGATATGCAAAATAAAATCTTAAAATATTGTAAACATCCAATAGATGAAAACGATGCTGCAACAAAGGAATATATTGATAACAAATTAAAAATATTCAATGAATTAAATAAAGATTTTCAAACTTTTGCTAAAGAAAATGCTAATAAACTAAAAATATTAGAAGAAGATCACATAACAGATAAAACTAATTCAGAAAAAAATATTGAAGAGTTAAATTTAAGCGTTATTAATTTCATAACAGAAACGAGTAAAAAACTTTAGATATTAGATATCTGAAAATATATAATGGTGCTTTCAATGCAAGAAACAAAAGAACTGATAATGTCGATGATCCAACAGAAGACAAAAATGCTGTGAATAAGAGATATTTAAAGAATAATGCTTTAACCATAAATGATGAGGATGTGTTTGATGCAAAAATAAAAAAATAACTAATTTAAAAAATCCAATTAATGACACGGATGTAGTTATAAAATCATATCTCGAAAATTATTTCAAAATTGATGAAAATCCGAACAATATAATTAAAAACACAGAAAATGGGTTATTTGCTTCAAGTAACCATTCTTTCAGCATAACGGGTTTTATAGATTATGGTAAAGATACGTGATCTGATTTTTATTTTTTCCCAGATGATTTTCTTAAAGATAATAAAAAATTCATGTTAGAATCTGATAGATTCATTAGTAAGATTTGTTTACCAAGCGATATGCAATCATTAGATATATCTACGGGTATATTTATCAATGATAAATTAGTATTCTCTTTTAAATTAGAGATTGGAGAAACCCACGTAGTCATAAATAAAACTATCCCATTCAATGTAAGATATATAATTACAGTTAAAACTATAGATAATGAAGAGAATCTCAAGGATTATGACATTAATCATTGGAGAAACCCACGTAGTCATAAATAAAACTATATGTAAGATATATAATTACAGTTAAAACTATAGATAATGAAGAGAATCTCAAGGATTATGACATTAATCATTCGATTAGATATAGTATTTCAATATTTATAAATTATAATGAATTTTTGGATAAAAAAAATATACCAATCAGAGATCAAGAATTATCCGTCTTATTGGGAAATAAATTTTTTCCTATATAAATGGAGACATTGAAAAACTAACCAATATTGGAAAACTTCAAAATACTCCAACAAAGAAATTATATGAGTTGGAAATTGATTACGAATATCCAATTGATCATATTAAATCAATATACATTCGCTTTGGAGAAAAAAAATTAATAGTTCTTAGGGACACTGAATGGAGTGAATTTCAAGTTTTTCTTCTTGATCGATTCAATAAAAAATTAGAGGATGAAGATTTAGATAAGATGAGTAATTTTAAATTTGTATACAGGGGTATGAGATTGTGGGGATAAGTATAAAGCTTATACTGTATTATTGAGTTTGTTTGAGTTTTTTTTATATTTTCTTTTTTTGTAATAATTCACTGAATTTGATTACATTTAATGACTTTAAATAAATGACACTAAGAATCAATGAGATTTCAGTGGTTTCTAATTCTTGTTTAAATTCAGGGAATTATACTTCTGAATTTTACAAGCCTTAAATTTTTGGGGTAGAACCGACATTTATATACTATTACTAATCTTTACCTTAATCTACTACAATAAAAGAATATAATAGAAAAGATTCTGTTTGGCTTGCAAACAATATTAACAAACAGTTCTGTTTATTTTAGAATTAAGAAAATTCACAATGACTCTGCAACAGCCAAATTACGTAAGGATCTCATTAATTAAATCTTACATATACAATAAGAATATTTTATATATTATTTTAATATAACAATTCTTAATTTTTTTTTAAATTTAAATTTAGAATGTAACCATATCCGAAGGTGTCTCATTTATTAAAACGCTTAGCGATGACCATAATTTAAGAGCAACTGTAAAAGGTTCTGTTGTGGGAGGCATCACTGTTGGGAGCATTACTGCTGTATCATCTCTCTTCTTTGGACCCATCGGTTTATTTATTGGTAAGCTATTTCTTCTTTATTCTAACTGTAAACATTACGATTTTTATTTTTTTTAATTTAATTTAGGTGGAACATTCGGTGGTTTTATAGGTTATTTAATAGCCAAAGATAAATACAAACCGTTATCCACTGTAATTGAAGAGATGACTCCTCAGCAGAAAGAAAAACTTAGGAATCATTTGATCGTTCTCATGCACAGTGTTGACGTCAGAGATTTAATAACTCTAGCTGCAATCATTGCTTCAAATACTTCGATTAAAGGAAAAATATTAGCCGGCATTATCAATTTTATAGTGCAAGAATTTGATGTTCAAGTTCAAAATTAAATCTCTTACATTAAATATTAAGTATTTTATATAAACCATAATTGTGTACTCTTTTAATCTAATAAATTTTATCTGCATCAAAAAAATCTTATGTTATGAGTTACAATAGATCAAAAACATCCGATAAATAATGACATCGTGTAGAAATATAATCGAATATCTAAATATATAAAATTACTTGTCCTGACTGACTGACTGACTGATTCATCATCGCTCAAAGAAAACCGCTGAACCTAAAAAGGTGAAATTTTGTACACAGTTAGGGTACGTCATGGAAACTCATACTAAGAAGGGATTTTTCGAAATTCTTCCGCGGGGGAAGGGAGAGAATTAAGGCTTAACCGGAAAAACGGCTTCTACTGTACTATTTTAGATACGATTTTTTAACTGCGTTTTAGTAGGGTACCCGATGGGAATGCACACTAAAAAAGGATTTTCCGAATTCCGCGCTGGGGGAAAGGGAGAGCATTAAGGCTTAACCGGAAAAACGGCTTCTACTGTACTATTTTAGATACGATTTTTTAACTGCGTTTTAGTAGGGTACCCGATGGGAATGCACACTAAAATTCCGCGCTGGGGGAAAGGGAGAGCATTAAGGCTTAACCGGAAAAACGGCTTCTACTGTACTATTTAGATGCGATTTTTTTTCTCAACAATGTTTAGTCTTTATTGTGTACTTAGATGTATTAAAACATTTCAGACGTTGTTATAAATATTTTTATATACAGTGAAAACTGCTTAGGCGACCACCTGCATTTGACAAGCACCTGTCAAAACGGGCAAAAATTTCTGGCACGGAATAGTTTATCCATGGCGTCTTCGTATAAGTTATTTGTATTAAACGACCACCTGTATAACGCGACCGCGGGCATCGATTTTTGGTCCGAAACAACATACAACAGTAGAGCGTCGTTTATCCGAAAGCCAGTGATCCGATACGTCGGTTAATGGAAACCATTCCAGTTGCCAAATTTAAATTTTCGCTGATGCTGTGGCGCTGCAATCTTTGGTTATATCTTGGGGGCTACTCCAATATTTTTATTGTTTTTGTTGGTGTGTGTGTTTTAGCTGGCAGCACTGGCACTTTCGTGTAGTGTTTTTCTGAGGACTGTGTGTAGTGCTGAATCGAACGTTTTTGATACTACATTAACTTCTAAAGTATAATTTTATTGTTTTTATATTTTTCAATATATTTATTTTGTTTGTAAAAAATAAAGAAATAATTTTTAACGATACAATTCGCGTTTTTCATGAACTATAGAGGACGCTGTATTTTTACAAAATGGCTACTCTATCTGGGTCGTTTGTTAGTCGTCACTAAAATGAATTATATATTACTATCTGATATAATGAAATATGCTACTTGTAGCAGTTCATCGAGAAATTTTATAGAAGGAGAACAAGTATTACTAGCAGGACACGTCATTTTATGTGGTATTATCGAGAAAAACGAGCAAGATCGTTCTGTACATTTTTGTGCTCTTTGTCTGCAAACATCAGCATTGACTTCTATCCCACACAAAATTACTGGAATTTTAAAGTTTATCGACATATCATATAAAATTGAATAGAATTACATTTTATTGAAGATAATCCTATA